TAGACCCTATATCTAAACCTACTTGAGGAGCATAAGCACTTATAATATTAAAAATCTTAGTATCAATAATAATCTTAAGGGCTATAATTCTATCTCCAACTCTATTAATTTTTACAACATTATCTTTCAAACTCGTATCTAAAATTACACCTATACCATTTCTAGTGCAACTCTTACTAGAATACCAAAGTTTAAAACCTAAGCTACCAATGTCATCAATCTCCTTAGCCTTTTCTCCAACCAATTTAGTTTCTTGAATACATAATATATTATTCTTTCTATGAATCATAATATCAATTAATTCCATTAATTTATCATTTGAGAGTATATTAATTCTATTAATTTATCATTTAGAGTACCTATATTCCAAGATCCTATTCCAATATTAGTTTCATCAATTTCATGGACTAATTTATTTACCCGCATCCATCCATAATGTGGGAACCTTTGCTTATTTGACACTACACCTGGGCGTCGGTGTAGCGGCCCTTCCACAACTTTTACTATATTCAGGTCATACAGCGCATCGCTTCCAGGGGACGCCCTAGCACTCCAATGAGTTTTAATTTTATCCACCTTCAAAATAATTTTTTAATACTTTGTAAGAGAATGAAAACATATCCCAAATATTTTAGTGATTGGGTGGGCAAAGCACAAGCGACAATTTTTTTTATGAACAAGACTAGATTCAAATTTGAGGTCGCACAAGGAGCAGAAGAAAAACTACATGCCACAATCACTACACGTCTAATCTAAGAATTATGCCCAAGAAATCAAGGAGAAAATCTCTTGATCATGTACCCTTTGGTTGTATACTTCCTTAATTATTTTAAATAATATAATACTTATCAGCACAATAAATTAGTATTATCTTATTAGTATTATTATTAAAAGTATAAATTGAAAGAGACTTCTTAACCCTCAAGACTAAAACTTCTCACATTTATTAAAGTAAATTTTAAAAATGAGAACTCAATTCGATCAATTTTCAACCAAACGATTAATTAAGAACACTCCATAAAGTAAGATCTAATCACTTTAGAACAATTATACTAAAGTAAACTAACACTTGTAGCGTCAATGACATTCTTCTTTAAGCAAAATATAAGGTTTATCAAATTTCATAATAAATATCATTAAAAGAATTACTCATATATATATATATATATATATATATATACACAAAAAAAAAACACATATAAGAGCACGCGAAAGGCAATAGGGGGATTAATAACTGTGACACAACTATTTTGGTATAAATTGTGTTATTGAAGCCCAAGTTACTTATTAATATATTAATAATTGATGTATGATAAATTGTAATTTTTGTAAATTAGTGATTGTTGCAAGGAATATCTAACAAAGCAAAATAAAAGATGTAAATCAAATATCCTATAGTTGATATTTGATAAGAGTAATAATATATAAAATTTTAATAGTGTTAAAGAAAGCAAAAAAACTTTTTTTAATTTCGGCTCAATCACATTATTTTCTATTCTTTTGTTTTCTTTTGGTTAAGGAAGGTGGCAGCATCTTGATTGTAGTAACTCGTGAACTCGTGGGAAATAACCAATGAGTTTAAATCACGCTTAAAAGCATATTAAGATCCTTAATACTCATCATTTCTTCATTACCCATGCAAGCATAATGGCCAACACCAATTGCTTGAACACATTCCTTAAAGTGAGATCTAATCACTTATAAGCACTTATAATGAAGCAAACTGACCTTAGTGTCAATGACATTCTTCTTTAGGCATACTATTAAGTTTTTCAAAATCCATAATAAATATCATTCAGGAAAATTACTCCTATACATGAAAATAAAAAAATACACTTCCATAAGAGCATATAATAATAGGGATTATGAAATCACATATGGATAGACTATTTTGATATTAAATTGAGTTATTCAAAATACAAGTCATAAATTATTGTTCATATATTAATAATTGACGCATGATATAATGTAATTCTTGTAAATTACTGAATGCTGCATGGAATATCTACCAATCAAAACAAAAGATGTAAATCCTATAGTTGACATTTGAAGAGAGTAACATTATATAGCACTTTTGTAAAAAAGAAAGGTAAATAAAAAATAAAAAAAATAAAAAAAAAACTCATCCTTTCTAATGCGTTCTATTCCATTTTACTAGCATTGGTTTAAAACCAGAAGATATAGCAAGATAACAAAGCAATTTCATCAATATTTGGTTGATGTCAATCAAAATCTACAAGTCAGTTAAGGAAAGAAAGTCAACAGATATATTACATGGTTAGAAGGCAAAGTTAACAGGGATATGTCCAAACTGAAAGGCCCAGAATAAAAGAAACAATTACCAGTTACATCACAATAGCCTGACGGGCCACTCCATTATCAAAACTATAAAATTGAAAGCAAATCAAAATCTACCAGTTCTCAAATTTAAAGTTCAATAAAATACCCAATAACCTACAATTCCATAGATCCTGTCTGAAACTCTTACATGTTACTTCCACTGAAGTGGCTCATGCTTCTACATCCTCAAAACACATCTGCAAGAAACATTATTAAGGCCCAAGCTTAATTAGTTAAGTATTATTACGTTATATGGTTTTGAACATCCTACTTATCAATGCCCTAATCTTAGGCCAAAATTCTCGTGCCCCTCCCTCCAAATAGCATTTTTTCGAGGGAAATGGTTAAGATTCGCAATACTAAAAGTTGCCACATAATAGCACAGTAGTAAACAATAATTATACTTGAAGGGATCCTCCAGCTCAGCTTCCACGAAGCATCATGGTTGAAGAATCACCATTGAACCATACAAAACCACACTCTCGCAGCAGATCCAAACGCGCAAACTTGAGATAAAATAAAATCCGCCCTTGATTCAAACCAAAATGACCACACAGATTCTGGTTTTCCCTCAAAGGCAAGGGAATGTTCGCTGGAAAATGAAAACTACATGAAACCATTAGCACTGCAAAATTAAGAAGCAAACCTGGACGACGGCGAGCGCAACGAATTGCTCGAGCTTGATCGTTAGCTGATGCCACAGTTTGCGCTGATAGAGGTCAGCAAGGCTAGCATACCACTCAGCCAAATCTGGTCGCACATTTCGTTGCGACTCCAAGTACTGCAGAGCCCCCGCCATTGCTACTGACGAAGGAATGAAACAGATATGGCGATAGCACCTTTTTTTTTTTTATCCTACTCGAGGTAGAAGAAGAAGAAGAAACCCTAATTTCTTATGGAGCTCTGTCAAATCTTCCAAGCAACGGAAGGATCGGTCTGCCTGCCCTCCGCTGGCATCGGATTTTACTCGTTTATTTTAATCTTTTTTTTATCCCACCGTTCCTCGCGTTTTTCCTTTTTTTTTTCTATTTTTCATTAAATTCAATAAATGCCTCTTAATTGGAAAAAAATAAGAAAAAAATTAAACAAACAAAAATCGTTCTTCCTTGCGCAGGACTTATTTCCATTTGTTTTAAAAAAAAATGAAGAAAACATTCAGTTTTATAAAAAAGAACATAAAAAATAAAAACTGCTAAACCTAATATACAACTCAAGAATATATGAAAATACATCACCATATATAGAAGATTAAGAAAATTAAATCATGACAACCTAATAAAAAAACAAGCACATACTAGAAGAACCTACTTAAGATGAAGGCAAGCCAACTAAAAGGATAAAAATAAATCAAAACCAACAACCATCTAAATGAATCTCCAACACTCACGAGTCAGAAAGAAGCATACATTCTATGTATCAAAAGATACAAATTTATAAATAACAACTTCAATAGAGTTGAATATCTCAGCTCCAAATCACCAACTCAAAACATCAACCACTCCAAAAACCTGAAGAGAATATTATAGCTCCCAAACTTCCAATTGCAACCACTAAAAAATAATATTCCAGCTCCAAGAAGGACATTATTCTCTATAATCAAGTAATAAATCATAATAAGACAGAAACACATGACAAATGAAAGAAAATAATTACATTAGCTCAGAATTCTTGTAAAATAATCAACAATTAAATACAGAAGAAAAACATATCCACCATGAAAGGAACCTAAACGATAGAACGGGAAAGACCTACCATATGGGAAAAAACACTAACCACAGAGAAAAGACAAACAAAAATTTGGCACCTAAAAACATAAAGCATCAATATCATCAATAAAGTATGATAATCAAGCCCAAAAACAAATTTAGCATATGAGTAATCAATATATGTGAATATAAAAAATAAAGATAAAAACTTCTAAAAATAAACAAATAAAAAAAAACTATATCTATAGAGAATGAAAATAAAACCCACAAAAAATCTATTAGAATCACTGTTATAACACAATAATAAAAGTATTAGCACCAATTGAACCAAAAAGAAAAAACTAATTGATTATATAGTGGTTGAGCGTCTATGAGAAAGAACATAGAACTTCATCCATAAAAAAGAAATAATTAAAAGAGATCAATTTAAATCCAATATGAAACAACATAAAGAAACAATTAGAACATAATGAAAACATATTTCTAATATCTATGCATAACACTAAATAAAAATCCAGCCAACAAATACAATACATAAAGCCAAATCAGCACTTCATAAGTGTTATAAATCCCTAAATGAAATCAGTGTTGTTTCTTTTAAACTCCCATCTTCTGCTTTTAATCTTAATCATCTAATGAATATAATGAGTAATCAACTTAGAAAAAGTACTATTGTTCTAGAAAATTCTAACATTTCTCTCAAACCATATATAGTAAGAAGTAACATGCACAGTAGGTAAATGAAATCTTTTATGAATATTACAAAATATATTATATGAATGATAAAGAACTTGATAAAAATTAGTAGGAGTGACAAAAAATTACCATTAAGAACATAATTCTTAAGAAGAGCATTCAAAAATAGAGGATTATGAGTTGCAATGTCTTTATAAAACAAAACAGAAATTTTATTAACAAAAAATCCTCTTTTATAAAGAAGATCACAAGTTCTTAAGCCATTTTGAATAACTTTCCAAGTGTGTAGTACCAATGCAATTGAGCAACCTTTAAATCAAATCAAGTTGTACTAATCCATAGTTGCAAATTATCATAAGGAAATAAATAAAAAAACTTTATAAGAAAAAATGCTCATGTTATTCCAGATACAAGTGTCCCCATCCATAGTAGTAATATTAAAAATGGCATTTCTGAAAAAATTTGAAGGATTAATAAAAAATCAACATTTCAACTGTCATTTAATATAATTTTACTAATTTTAGTGTTATAAGGGAGCTTAAACCTAATGAAAATAGAATCACTAAAAATACTCTTTTAATGAAAAGCCATTAAACCAAGGATTAGAGCAGAAGAAGATATTTCTCTTAATTTTGACCTTAAAAGTTAAATAACTTCTAATTCTCTTTGCAACATTAGTAATATTTTACTAGAAAGCGTTAGAAGAAAAATATAGTAGCCCAAATATATTTATAATGATTTAATATCCACTAGATAAAAAGAAATGTTAATTGTAGAGCTTCCAGATATGCATATTATTGCGCATAACACTAATGGCTTTAATTGAAGGAAGACCATGGCCTCTTAAATACTTTGGCAAAGTAACTTTATTCCATACAATAATGTGCATACTACCATTATTATCATTACATTGATGAAAATTAGATATCATAAACATAATTGTCCTTCTTAATCTCTTAGGTAATATAGTAGAATGAAACCAATAAATGAATTAGCTCCAAATAGTGTATCTAATTAATTGAAATCTCCCCATAGTAGGTGATGCACGGAGGCCTAATGCTTGTGCACAGTATAGCAATAGTTCTGATGGTATTTTTCACTTATATTTCCTTATTTTGCAACAAAACCAAAAACTTGATCTTGAAGAAAAATAGGAATTTAACTTTTTAATTTATATATATTTATATTGGGATACTACATAAGTAACATATTGTTATCAAGTAATATAGGACTTTTTGATTAAGACCTGAATATCGAACCCACAGGGAAGATTATGCAATATGCACTTTTTAGAAAATTTTTATATTTTTAAAAAGATAATTACTTAAACTAAAAATGATTTTTGTAGGAATTTAAAATTTAAATATTTTTGGTATTTTTGATATTTTAACGAAACAGTAACAACTTAAAAAGATAAGTAAAGTTTTTTGTAGAAGAAAAGTACTTAACATGAAAATATCTTTCTTCTTATCATGAATTAGTAATAAGTATAGGAATTCTGTTGTGGAAGTATGCAAATTTTGTTGTGCTAAATAGGAGCAATAATATTATTTACCCTTACTAGAGATGCTATAAAGAACATTGGCTAATTTAAAGTTTGAATAGTTCCCACCTGGGGGCTAACATTTTCGTATCGATAAACTAAGTTGGGAACTAAGTTGGGGGCTTTAACCTGTCACTTTAAAGTCCTCTAACTCTACACTCATCAATGTATATTTCCTTATATATTTGCACTGAATCATATGAACTACATTCTCATTCATGAAATTGAATGTAACTCTCACCTTGATGTAGAAGCATAGCCCTTTCAGAGCTTAAGTTTCTCAACAAATTTTAACATTTCAATTGGCCAGATCGAAAAGTAATGAAGATCAGAGTTTGAATCATCACAATATTCTGACTTTTAAAATCTTGCACAATAATAATAATTCTTCACAAAACCTTATCTCATTGTAGGGAGAAGGATAAAGAAGACTGCTCAGAATTCATGAGGAAGATACAACATAACATGGATTTTATATATAAAAAAAAGTTTATAAAACAAAGAAAGGAAAGAACACAACTTATCTCACACTCCTCAAAAATCCCTTGAAGTTCCCTTTAAAGCACTTTCTCTCTACAATCACACTCAATTATCTCTTAGAAGTGTAATGAAAAAGAAATCTCTAACCTTCCCTCTTCTCTTACAACTCTAGAAGAAAATCCTCTCCACACACAAAACCTAATCGTAGACTCCTTTCTCCAAAGACTCCACACGACACATACAAAAAGACCTCACTAGACTTCTTAAGACTGGTGCCAGCCCCTCTTCTCCATAGAAATTCAAAAATCCCTCCTTATTCTCAAGAGACACACCTCTTCCCTTTATTTGATGTATTTGCCCAAGAGACCCATCCTTTCATGATAATTTTCATCCATGGTGGTTACAACCACCTATTAAGCCAATGGGTGCCTCAAAAACCTCTTTGAAATTCGTGAAAATCAATTTTCTTGGCACTTAAGAGCGGGGTCTTGGCGCTTAGGCACGGCCTTCTCTGTTTAACCGGCGCGTAAGCGTCGGATCTGGTGCTTAGGCGCCAAAACTCTTTTGCACAATTTTTCACCTTTTTGCTCCAAATTTGATCCTTTTTCACTCTTTTAAGCATTTTTCCCTTTTTACTTGTATCTGCAAGAAAAACACAAAAATACCTTCCATTAAAGTGCAATATCTCAAAAATAGGTATAAAAATGTGTCTAAAAACACTGTGTATTAAAACACTATATATTTTAGGTATATCGAAATCCCCCAAACTTAAAATGTTATTTGTCTTCAAGTGACATTTCAATCTTTAAAAACCAAATATGTATGATATGTATATGAGTTGCTTTAGAAGTTACCAAAATTTACATTTAGAAATATAGTAATTCAATTTAGAAAAAATAATTAGTAAATGAGACCAACTAAAAGTTTGAAAATTTTTAATGTTAAGAACTATGAAAATATGAGTTCCTATGTAATTCAGAAATATTGTAAGTTCTCTAAATTTAGATTTTAGTTCTTTTATTTTCTCTACTTAAAAATTTTTATTAAAAATAATTTTACTTACTGTATTATATTTATAAGCTTAAGATTTTTCAAGTCTTATACTTTAAAAAGATCAAATGTAGAACCAATTTTTAATTAGGCATTAATTCTCAAGCTTCTCCTCCCTTACATTTCTTTTCTTTTTCTTTTCCTATTCTTTTCTTTTTTTACTTTTCTTTTTCTTTTTTTGTTCTTTTTCAGGCAAGGTTTACTATATCTGGATAGGTTTTTAATGATTTTGAATTTCATTTCTCTTTTCCTAATGTAAAGTCTTGATATAAAACTTTTACTTATAAATATAATAATAGTTTTGAAAATCATTTTAATAAAAGAAATTTAAGTATTAAAATAAAAGTCTAAAATATATAAATTTCTCAAAAATAAAATTTTTTGTACTAAAGATAGTCACTTATGTTAATCATTTTCTATACTAAAAAGTTTTAACTTAAAGTTTTTCTTCATTACTTAAAATTTTAACTAAATTTT